GTCCAGGCGTTGTTGAGTTATGCGCTTACCAACACATTTTGCGATTCATTTTTATATTATAGATTTATGTAATATTGAAATAGACATGTAAGTATTGACACCGCCGCTTTGATTTCATGTAACAGCAATGCTTCGAGAAAGTGTGCGGTATTTTTCTGGGCAGTTCCTCCTTGGCGCATAGTTGTGAATAAAAAAATATAATAGACTACTTGAAATAAGGGAATGAGTATTAAATTTTCTAACAACAATTTCATGTAACTGTTCATGAACGGGTCATGTTGATGTAACCGTTCGGGATGCTACGAGAAAGTGTGCGTTATTTCTTGGTGCCGTTAGTTCATTCTTCGCTCGCCTTGCCGTTGAGTTGCGAATAAAAGAACATATTTTTACTACGGAACTATTCGAAAATAAGGGAATCAGTATTAAATTTTCTAACAGCAATTTCATGTAACGAGAAAGTGTGCGTTATTTCTCGGAGCCGTTAGTTCTTCCTTGGCTCACCTTGCCGCTGAGCTGCGGGTAGTAGAAGGCGGGCTGCGCGGCGCCGGAGAAGAGGGAGGCGGTGGGGGCGGCGGCGTGGGCCTGGGCCGCTGCTTGCGCAGGCGCTGGCGCCGGCTGGTAGTAGAACTGCGGCAGCGCCTGCGCCTGCGGCTGCGCATGCGCCTGCGCCGCCTGCTGCTGCGCCTGCGGCTGGTACAGCTGCTGCAGCAGCGCCGCTTGCTGCTGTTGCTGCTGCAGGTAGGCCGCCAGCTGGTCCTGGCTGATATACTGTCGAGGAGAGAGAAAAAGCCGTTCATTAAGTAGTAAGCACAAGGGCGGTGGTTTCTCAGGGGCATGACGGCTGACAGAGCGCAGTAGCGATCCTGTCTGGGTGGCCGTAGCGTTCCATTTACGACACTCGCGCTTAGAAACAGGCGAATTCGATTTTGCTCACAGGCTTCTTTTAAGCTGAGAGTCAGTAAATTTACCACATGGGGCAGCCAGCTTTACTTCCTTTCAGAAAGATGTACGAAGGATCTTTACATTTTTTCGCGAAAACATCTGATATGGTTAAAATATTCTCCAAAGAAATAAAGTTTCTGAAAGCCTGTCAAATGTGAATTTTTATTTATTTCAATAACGGAACGCGATTTAATTCTGGAAGGTGTTGACGCACTTCGTTTAACATTAAAACTGTACGAAGGTAATGGGCTGCCAGAAAAGTTCAATTCACTTTAGTGATTTTTTTTATCTTAGGTCACATGTACAAACTTTTACAAAGATCAAAATAAAACTAGATTTATTTTGATTTTGAGATTTGTACAAAAAAGCAAACAAACGTTTAATACACAGCGAACGTTAACACATAACAAACGTACGCTATAATGGAAAATAATGATCCAAAAAGCGACAAAATACTCTACCTTCCAGTGCAAGTAGATTGATTCTTAGTGATTCCAAGCGCGTCAACTGCTAAGGTCATTAGTCGTAGTGCCTGATTTCTTCGGGAGGTGCCGGTGGTCTTGCCCTGCTGGATGCTGAGATCCGGCGCCGACCGCCAGTGCGACCGCCGACTGTCTCTCACCAGCGCCTCCCCCCAACCGGGGCAATGTACAAGTTCCCGACCGGTCACCGCCATGTGTGGTAGTGTAGTACATATTAGTGTAAGTGTGTGTGTGTGAGGGGTAAAGATAGGACAAGAAAAAGAAAAGAAAATTCGCGCGCGGTCCATGGCTCGTTTGTTAGGGTACTGCTCAAGCATTGGCATTGATCCTGGCATTGATCGGAGAAACCACAGCAAACTATCGATCAGAGAAGCCGGGAGTTGGAATTTTCCTCCAGACAGCGACTGAACTCGACCTAACTATCAAGCCAGTACCGAAAATCCTATCCCTACCGGGACTCGAACCTCAGGGAGGACCTCATGATCAGCGGCACTGCAGTAATATCAGTTGATGTCCTGAGCCACCTCTCCCGGTCCAGTGCAGTTTCAGTCGTTCTCGAGACTAGTATGGACAAATAGTTTTAAAAATAATTTCAGAGAAAAGTTTTAAAAATAATTGAGAAGTTTCTTACAAGAACCAAACAATTCATAATTCCACATTTTGATATATTTCAGCCTGTTATTCTCTACAACTGGCGTTATCTGCTGGAACACTTATTTCGGCAAGTGACAAACACATTGAAAGATATAAGGGAAGCCAGAATTATAAATTCATTATTGCGCACAGACACTCCAATGTTATTTACACAAATATACTATGTGTAGAAATATACTATGAGCAGAATGAACCTCTTCCCCACACGTCTTGCAGTTTTAACGGCTTTTGCCGATAAATAAATTAGAAACGATGATGTCCATTCCACAAACATTCTAATGGGCCAAGTGAGGGGTCTGCTTATACTCAAAAGCGAACCCGCTTTTAGGCGCTGCTACAAGGAAGTGCCCGAGGGGAAAAGCGAACCCACTTTTAGTCGCTGCTACAAGGAAGTGCACGAGGGGAAATCCTGGAAATGGACTTGCAGCAAGCACATCAAGCCACTGGATGAGAACATTAGGTACTTGCATTTTCCGCCAATAAAGTTCTTCAGGAAGGCAACCCACGAGCAAGAACTTTCTCTGCTGCAGTGGTTTTCGCTATCGCTGAAGAAAGCGTACATCCTTGGCGACGGTAACTTCCACATCGATTGTTGTAAACCCGGGGGGGGGCGGATACGGAAACTGGTGACAATGAACGCTGCTCCTTGGCTACGGCTATTGGTTAGCAACTTCCGAGTGTTTATTCCTTCACCACAACCAGTCACTACCATATCAGTATTACACTGAAAATAGGTATACCAATGTTATGCATGTAATTTTACGAAAAAAACAATCTCATTTTTTTTTCGGATTTTTTAATTTTGTTTTTTGGCAGATACCGCAGAAGTTATTTTAGTACCTAGCGCGTAAAGTGGATGCTTTTCCCTCGAGGGCGAGCGAGCGTCGTTGGCCTGAGGGGCGGAAAGTTATCTGAGGGGCAAAAACATTAAGCTCAAGGTGCATACAAAACTTTATGGTTTACTAGTTTATTGCTCAACCAAACGAGAATCGGAAACATCTTCCTATTTGTCTTGCATCAAAAGTGAAAAGATGCATTGTAATCGTAAGTTGCGAATATGGCGACAAATTACCAAACCAAAGAGCAAAGTTTGTACAAAATAGAAGAATATTCTGAAGTTCTTTCGGAAATACTAGAAAAAGCTAACAAAGCTTCCAGATTTTTTACCGTAAAATCTCGAGAAATATATGAAAACAAGTGTGGTGAATGTAAGAGTTGAAAGGAAAATAACTGTCAATTGCATAAATGAAACTGTACTTTTAGATTATTTGTGTTTATAGTGGTAAACTATTCAAAATATTTCATTACATAAAAAATAACATTTTGAGGATGCCAGTGGTATGTCTACTAAAAAATGTAATAAGTATCACTGACATAAGAGTGTCTGAAGGGAATTTTAATTTAATGGAATATTTAAAAATTGCAATTTACATATTAATTCAACGAAAGTATGTTTACGTAAAGTTATTTTTCTTATTATAAGATTAAGCAATTTATTTATTATATTTTCGTGTTTCTGAAACTTAATAAATCGAATTTATTAGAAAGTTATTTGATGTATTAGTAGCGGAGTGTGCAGAAATCACTCAACATGACCGCACGAGCCTAAACACTCCGCAAGGCCCGAAAGCGCATTAAGAATCACGTACAAACGCAGTGATAAACTAGTAAACCATAAAATTGTTTCTTAGACGTACACATCATTTTACTCCAAATTAATCTTCCCAAACCAATCGGGCTCGAGTTATGGCCTGACTCTTCAAATGGATCATTTAATTTTTTTTTGGATTCTTTCTTTGATCTAGAGTAACATGCAATCTCAAACACGTTTGAAAAATCTAATATTAAGTCCGTATTTTAAAAAAAAGTTTTACTCATATAACGCTGATAAAAATGGCTTAGACCGATTTTTACTAAAATATCTGAAATACTAAAAATTGAAACATTTCGAAATTTTTTCGGCCCCCTCCTACAAGTACATTAGATAGAATTTTATCGATGAAATCTATTATTCAAAGTTAAATTTTAAATAATATCATGAACAATTGTCTTAAAAATTGGTCGTTTTGGAGAAAAAATCAAATCACTAGACTTTTAGAAATTTTAATTAATTTATAGTCCACAATTTATTAGTTTTATAATTTCTTCTTCTATCAACAATAAATAGGCTTTAACCTGTTCCGGTTTTTAATTTTGTTTGGCGTATCTCCCTCTCCTACCGAGCTAATGCTGCAATCTTTCATTTTCCATCCTTTCCAAATGTTCACACCATTTCTTCTTTTTAGCATGATTGTTTTTCTAGCACAGGCCTGACATTGAGCTCTTTTCTTATATTCACACTAGCGGACCCGAATGCTTCTCTATTGCAGTGTATGAAATAAATACAATTCCAGTTCAAAATAAATGTTTTGAATAAATATTAATAACGAATTAATTACATTTAACTACGTATTTACTACATGTTTCTATATTACTATATTTCACTTCAGTTTCACAATAAAATATTCGAATAATGTTGTGCACAGCCAGCATTTGGATCAGACAACTTACTTTCTAAATCGCAACTTGACATTATTCAATATTATGAGTTGAAGCTAGACGTGTAGTTTAAAAAGATGTTCAGAGGTTTCACTTCAAGCAAAGTCCTCTGGAAACCACAAAGAGATCACTTCGAATAACTTTATGAAAAGAACACCTTCACATATCCCATTTTATTCAAACCACTCTTTAAATACTCTCCGATACCAAAAAATAACAACAACAAACTGCGAAAATTTCAGCGAAATCGGTCGAGTAGTTTTTGCGACTTACAAACATACACATATTTCTTTTATATTAAAAAAATAAGGTCTCATTAACTGCTAAGTCATTAGCACCTCAATAGATTAACGATAGGATTAACAGCATGAAGTGATATGGTGATGGTGAGGGGTGAACGAAAACGAATATAACCGTGCCCAGGCAGGACTAAACTCCGCGATTCTTCAGCTCAAGATCGCTTCAGTACTACTGCCTCAGCAATCTCGGCCATCCAGACGGCACAGATTCCTTTTTATTTATATTCCTTTCTTTTAGAAGGGTTCATCATGAAAATTTTAAATTTCACCATCTAAATTCTAGTTTTATCTCCTTCACAAGTTCTGCAGTGGCATCAAAGTACTGTCGTTGTGGGTTTGATGGTGTAACGATTAGTATCGAACTGTTGGACCACGGAAGTTGGCGGGTTTAAACCCCTTCGAAGCCGTGGATTTTTAAGATTGAAAAAATCCTTCGTACACCTTTCTTCGGAGAGCAAGTAAAGCCGTCTGTCCCATGTTGTAGATTTACTGCACGGATAAGATCCTTATGCCTGAATGAAGCCTCTGAGAAAAATTGAAACCGCCTGTTTCGTCGCCCGAGTGATACCCTCTTTCTCTTCCACACGGTGAAAGGAGAGTAGCGGATTTTGTGTGGTCCAGCGGCAGAGCAGGTCTCATGGCCTGAGGTAAATGATGCATATTTGAATGGAAGTGAATCAATTGATTTGTGCTTGTACCCGATTGCGCTTCAAAGAACTCACCTCTGTCTGGTACTGCGGCTGCTGCGGCTGCTGCTGAGCGGTCTGCGCGTGCTGCGCCTGCTGCTGCTGCTGCGCCTGCTGTTGCTGTTGCTGGTAGAGCAGCGCCAGCTGCTGCTGCTGCGCCTGGTGCTGCTGCTGCTGTTGCTGCTGCTGCAGCTGCCGCTGCTTGGCGCTGAGCAGGTTGTCTCGCTCGATGTCCTCCAGGCGCAGCTGCCGCTCGCCGCCTCCGCCGCCGCCGTTTTGCGCCTGCGCGCAGCGCGCCTCCCGCGCTGCCAGGCACAGCAGCAGCAGCAGCAGCTGCGCGGCCCTCGCGCCCACGCTGCCTCGCGGACACATCTGCGCACAACGGTTCGCTTTTGTTATTTCCCCTCCACACGTGCCACCCCTGAGAAGGCGGACATTTATTTGGCATTGATTTGTTTACAGTAAACTGTTCTCTCGCGGTTTAAGCAGCTGAGTGGGAGGGCTTTTCTTCACACACACACACACACACACACACACATAATATAAAATAAACAAGGGCTTCAAGTTTTATTTTCGAACATACGAGAGGTAAAATTAACGATTAGAGATAGTGGCAACCTTATGGTTCGTGAGTTCGAGATATTTTAGGATGAAGCAACAATTTCAATAAGAGCTAATCAGCACTGTCCGCAAAATCTTATAAACTTTTATTCGGAAAGAAATTTAAAAAAACAAACAAACAACTTCTTCTGACACTTGTTTTTGACATCGGCAACAATTCAACTACTGTTTGGGGGCTGATTCGCGTGGCTGGCTGATCTGATCTACCGTTTTCAGAGCTTTCTCCCCTCAACTCCAGGCGAATGCAGGAGCGGTACCCTACCTTCCTCTTCCTCGTCCTGTTCCTCGTTCTGAGGAGATACCTGAAGTTCTAAACACAATTTTCCTTTTCTGTCCTTCGCTAGTATTATGCAAGTTACCAGTAGTTTCAGGTGAAAAGTCACATTGAAGGAAATAAAACAAAGAACACCCCCAAACGGCGTGGTAAAGTATATCACGTAAATTGTCTCGTTTCGTAAACCAATAAACTCAAACTCCTGCTGTAATAATTAACAACCCGGTCTTGTACCAAAATTAATAATTCTTTCTGCAAAATCGACGTACACGTCGTTAAAAACAACGGTGAAGAAGAATCAACTTAATTGTGAGAGAGCGAGTTCGTTCACCAGCCGCAACATTTCGCTTTCGTCGCGTCGAGAGGGAAAAGCAGCTCCAGGAAACTAGTTCCCGCCATTTGCTTTTTTTGCGTGCCTATCGAGCACGCGAGGCGAGCGCGAACAAACGAACGTCGCAGATGCAACCGTTCCGCCGGATGCACTTGTCGGTCGCAGCCGCGAGGACTCTCTCTAGGACACTGACGCGAGCGCAAAAGTTGCAACTTTGTTTATGATAACGAGGGCGAAACAAAAATTAAAATATTCAGTTGGGACATACGTTCTACGCTAATAACAAGAATTTCTTGTATTTCGTGGCTTTGAGCGTATCAATTCCGTTCGTCAATATACCCGTAAATGTAGTGCATGTTACATCCTGGATGTGGTGGTGTTCCTCTCCGCTAGAATCAGTACACCAATTAATTCCATGTTGTGCCTCTGACCGGGAGGTTCTGGGGTCCCGACGACCTGGTGTTTGTCCCAGCTGGGGTGTTACACCGTTGGGGGAGATATCTGATAAGGGAAAATTCCCCCAGCCCTCGTAGATCGTCGCCGGATCTCGCCAGACAGCGCCGCTGCATGCTGCGATGAAAACATGCACTCTTCTTACGGATATAATGATCTTATCAGTTGACGCGCCAGGAATCATCAAAGAAACATCCACGTCTGAGGCGGGGTTCGAACCCGCGATACTTCCTTTGATTATTTCGTGATTCCGTGCGCGTCAACAGCCATGTTTGTTGGTTTCGTAAGCGCATTGCTTCTTCATTTTCATGGGAGAAGGTGGTGATCTTTCCCCACTGTATGGTGAGATTCGGCTTTGACCCATACTTGGGTTTGCGGGTTCTCCCCCTTCCAGATATTTCTCAAAAGCGAGGCACCGCCCCTGCAGGGACAAGCCTTAAGCATCCGACCGGTCTCCCGACACGTGTCGACGAGCAGTGCATGTAAGTATAATTGGATGTGCAGAACGGGATGAGGATAGGAGAAGGAAGAGGAACAGATGATGGTGCGCGGTATGTAGCTCGTTCGTCAGGGTCCTCGCATTCGACCGGTGTTGATCAAAGAAACCACGGAAAACCACCGACCAGAGCAGCCAGTCGCTAGAAATCTCCTCCAGACAGCAGCTGAATGCGACACAGCTATTTAGCTAGTGTCAGCAATCTTGCCACTGACGGGACTGGCACCCTGCGACCTGCCTGAGACGATCCTTCGAACCGAGGCAACTAAGGCATGTTCATTACGCGATCTCCTCTGCCCAGGGTGGCGAGTGTCTAGTTACGCAAATACATATTCCTCGTCTTCATTTGTTGCGTACGTTTCACCGCTTCAACTCTTCCTGCAGTTCCGGTTTCCAACAGCAACGGAAAGGGCCATTGGATCTGGTTTCGTGACTACGACACGTGCGCAAACCGGGCGATATACACCAAAGCCCAAAAAGACTCGTTTCCAACTCGTTGAAGGCGAAATCGGTCCAGAAGAGACGAGCTGCTGGGCCGGTTTTTTGACATCACCTATTCTGGAACTCGGCTAACGAGGCTCCGACTTTGTAGCGCGCGTGTGGAAAGCACGGGATCATGTTCGTTGGAGGAAGAACTCTGCACATATGCACTTGTCCCGTGAAGTAACCTTGGTTCTCAATTATGGGTTCCGGGTGCGTCAACGTGAGGTCATTAGTCCCGTACATGTAGTGCTTGTAGTGTTAGAGGCGACCGTGTTCTTCCGCCGCTAGAATGTGAGGTCTGGCGCCGCACTACACAGCCGCCGTCTGTTTGCTGTTGTTTTTCTTCATCCAGGAATCCCTCCGCGGGGCACCGCCTCAGCCACTGCTAGATCTAAGCTCCGCATAATGTGTTATTTTGTAGTGCATGTACGTGTGTGTGTATGTTTTTGAAGGGAGAGGAAGGGATAAGGATTAAAGAAAGGAAGACCGCGCGTGGTTCGTTTGTTCGGCTGCTGCTTCGCCATTCGCCTGGTATTAATCAGAGAAACCATGAACATTTACCCATCAGAGCTAGGAGTCTCCTCCTGACAGCGGCTGGTCTCGGCCTAAATATGAAGCTAGTATACAAAATCCTGCCACCGCCGCCACTCGAACTCCAGAACCTTCTGGTCAACGATGATGCACCGACGATGCAATACTTCCACTGAGCCATCGCAACATCCCACCTGTCTGGGAACAAATCTCGTTTCGATTTCATACTTCAAGACGAAGAGAATGTTAAAGCTTCCTTTATATCAGTGGGAGTAGTGGTCAGTGGGAGAGGGATCAGTGGTATCTTCTTTTATCAGTGGGAGTTTACAGAGAGGGAGAAGCAGTTAATTAATTTTTTGATCGTATGCATAGAGAATAATCTTTGCCTACACAGAAAGATTCTCTACTGCATTTTCTGGACAGCCTAGATGATATGTTTAACAAACGATTGTGCACGTGCTGTTAGGTACTATGTTTTTCATTCACTAACATTTTTCTAAAAATAAAACATTTTTAGACTTTCACTGTAAATTTCTCTTTCTAATAGTTGCAGCTCGTTGCAAAATTACAGTCATTATGGTACAGCTTAATTGTAGTATAGGTATTTTGCCAATCACAAAGACAGCTACCAAACTAGCATTAAAGAGCAATGAATAGGTAATATTTCTGAAAACTGTTTTTGTATATCGTGACTACCAGCAAGCAGGTGATGATAAACTGCACCGATATAAATGCAAAATGCTTTGATATTGGATTGGATTGTATCATTTATGAAAATAACGCCTAAATAGGCGAAAATGAAGAAGTCATAAACTAGATTCAACTTCTAAAAATTATCATTTGTCTTAGGAAATATTCTGAGTTATATTCGATGTCATTGATCCCAAAACACTGGTATGAGATATTATACTAGTGTATTAATACATCATCATTTACATAATCGTTTTGTAATATTATATTAATGCATTGTGACTTTGACAACTAGAAGACGCAGTTTACTTCTAAGGGGAATCAAATGGCTAGAACAAATCCGCTACTTACTTTCCCCCCTACGAATTCCAGCTAGGAACCGACATGACACACAATAAAAACTTCCTTCATAATGTAGGACAATATATTATAACGTTATCCATCGGAGAAAAAAGCTCTATAGACGAAAGAGACAAAAAGAATAGGGAAGGAAGAGGCACAGGACGTTTGCTCTCTAACTGACACCACCTGGAGCACAGCCATTGCACGAACGCGGATCTGCTCGTAAATCTTCAGGACCCCGCGCAAACAAAGCAGCGTTTTCTTTCGCGCGAGGTTCCGGCAATTGTTTTCCTCGTGGGCGGTGGCGTCGAATGTAGGTGAGGTAGCTGAGTAGAACAATCTTACGAGCGTCATAAAATGAACTTTACCACGTATGTTATTCACTATTTTTAGACGGCTTCAATGATATTAATTTTATTTTAATCCAAAGATTTAAATCACTACGTTAGATCCAGTCTGATGCGGTCACCCGAAAGTATTCTGTTTTCTTTGTGGTAATCCCAATTTTATCTCCACATCCATCGTCCCGCTTGAAGCACGAGTGCACGGTCAAGCTGTCTGGCTTGTGTCGAAAACGCTGCCACGAGGGGAGTGACCTCCCGGTTGAGGCAGGGCATGGCGTCAGCCGGTGCCCTGAGCGGGTGCGCCGCTCGGGAGGCTGCGCGGAGAGAAAGCGAGGGATTCCGTCGCCTCTCGAGCGGCGTTTTTGTTTTCTGTCGGCGCCGAGTCCTTTCCCCGAGGCCGTCGGAGGCGAGAGGCGGACAGCCGAGGAATCTGGAAAGGAGCAGCACCCCGTGGACCAGCGTCTCAAAAGACACTTTGCAGACGAGATCCGGCGCCGCCTCACACGGCGACAACTAGCTATCTCGCACCCCCCTCCCCAGGCGGGACGAGCTCTCAACACCCGACGGGGGTAGAGGGGAGCGGGGCGAGGATGGAGGTGTAAGGTGAAGGGGACGAAAGCATCGCGCGATGTCCTTTGCTCTTCTGTTGCGGTTTTGCTCCGGCATTAGACTAGCGTCGATTGGGGAAACCATGGAAATTAGAGAGCAGAGCATGTTTCTCCAGACAGCACCTGAGTTTGTCCTTGCTGTCTTTCCACTGTCAGGAGGCGAAACCTAGGCCTCCCGGCCGTAGACAAGCTATGAACT